TAGCTATTATTTCTTATTATTGAAACTGAGATTTATATTTAATAAATCATTTATGGTATATTTATTATTGTTGTCTTTTATCTTATACTAGTAGATGATTTGATATATAGAGTTTATTCTGTGCATAAAAGATTAAATCATTTTGTTCATATGAGATATAAAATTGTTCACAATCTAAGGTGGAGTTGACAAACCATCGATGTGATTGTAGCATAGGATTATATGTAGTTTATCTTGATTATAAGAATGATTAAATTCTAACTTCTTATGCTGGTGCATATTGTATGTATTGAACATGGACCAAGTAGAGAATAAGTATTTTTATACTTAATAAAATAAATTCTCTAGCTCATTAATAAATATATATCAGTTACTCTCAATCTTCATTTGATTGTTACTAACAATGTATGTTATCTATTGTTTTGATTCATAAAAAGGGTGAGTTTCATTACGGGGCAATAAACTTAGTGAATTGGACAATAACAATGTGCATTTGTAAAATATCAATTTCTTGAGAGTTCGTGTCTCGGTATAGGGATTGATGATACCCCTTAAAAAACTTATAAGTTTTCATTATATAAAACCCTACAGGTAGATTTTATATCCAACACATGAAATAAATTAAGTGGAATTCTTGAGAAATTAAATTAAATAGTCGATAATTTAATTTAATTGACAGGTATATGTAATCTTAACACGAGGATTTTATATATTTTAATCTTAGGAGATTTGAAATTAATAAGGAGTTCAATTATGAATTTTTAGTGGAATAATTCATAATTTATTATGATAATGTTTTACAGGTTGTATAGATACATTATTATTATAAGGTAGCCTTATTAATTTTATTTTTGTGGGAACCTATTGTGTTTGTGTTATTTAGAACTAATTAAGAGGTTAATTAAATTTAATGTTAATATTGCAAAACATGATTATAAAATTTCTCTTCTTAAAATTAAAAGCTCCACATTTAATTTTGCTATAGAACACCTAATAAATATGAATAAAATTTAAAAACAATTAAATGCTCTCAAATTAAATCTTAAATGAGCAAGATAAAATGCTCATTTATTTTTATTAAAGTGCATGGAATGGAGGGTGTACTATTTTAAATTAAACTACTTGTTAGGAAAATCAAATAAATGCCAAAAAGATAACGCTAATATACATCGTTCGAAGAGAACCATCCTCGGGTAATATTATATTCCAATAAAAAAAGAAAATGGGTCATGCTTTGAACTATACAAAAGGATGTGTATATTATATGTACATAATGAGAAGGTTAAAAGTGTAAAAGCATAGGTTCCAATTTTAAGTGTTCAGTTTGACGAAAATGAGTTTGTCTAATGAGAGAGAGAATTGTTTACAACTGTACGCGAAGGCGAGGAATTGCCAATAGCCTTCTACATTTAACAGGAGTGGTTAGAGAGGAAGAAAATTTGCGAGCAGCCATAGAGAGTAGTCGGTGAAGGAAAGAAGAGAGAAAATTTGAGAAGGAGAGCATGAAGAAAAGCAGCAATCTGTTAAACAACAGGTAACCAAATCTCTTGATTTTTTATTGTCGTGCTCAATCAAATTGAATTACGATCCTAGTTATGTTTACTGTGGCCCTAGGGTTTATAATTCTCATAGTCCTCAAACTTAGGCTTTTCTTTGAGATGATGAAAAATTATGAGATAGGTTTTTCATGGTATTGTAAAAATTATATGGAGAATGGAATGCAGAATAGTGTTTTAGGTACGGCTAATGAGTGAAAAAATTAAATTGACATTTCAGATAAATAGAATTAAAGATTATTATAATTGTTTTAGTTTGTATAAAGCTACCAACATGGTAGGATAGCAGGGATGTGACTTACATATGGTTTTTGGGATGTGGGGGGATTGAGCAATGGCAAACACGACATTATTTCTAATATTATTAATGTTCCCAAATCCAATACAAAAGTGCACGTGGGGGACAAAGGTTGTGAAAACTGGCAAAACAAAGACTTACAAAGTGGTAAAGAGTTTTTAGCCCTTATTGTCTTTAGGTTGGGAGATGGGGTTAATAGAGGTGTAATTCCCAATTATGAGTTTGTAAATATTATTTTTGTATGTCTGTAGAGTCCAAATGTACTATGTAGGCTTTGGCTTTGCGTAAGCATTTGGTGAGGAGTTATTAAGGAGGATAGATTTGATTTAATGAAGTCCGAACGGATGGACTGTGTAAACTGAGATATAGTGTTTTAGATAATGGGACAATGATTAACGACAAGATGCCGGATAAAGTTGTTGTGAATTGCCCGATGGATGGGCTTTGAGAATGTATTATGAATTTGTGGTTTTAAATCGAATTTTAGGGGGATCTCTACTGAAATTTCTTGGACAGAATCTTGGGCCAATCATATATAATAATTAAATTAATAGGTTCATTTAGATTATTCTATACCTTGATATTATTTAGCATAAAGTCCTTTATTTTTATTTATTAGTATTATTTATTTTATTTATTTTATTCATTTATTTATTTTCAAGAATTCAATTATTATTTATTAATTATATTATTTTATTATTTATACTTTTAGTATTTATTAAATTGGTATGATGATGTCTTATATGAAGGCCTTTTGGCCCATACTAGTGTTGATTTACTTTTGATATTGCTCGCATTTAACTTACAATGTTTGTATTTGTGTTGCTGAAATTTGTGCTATGCCTTATTTGTGTGGATTTGGGATGACAGTGGGTCCACTATGAGTTTGTTGAGGACGGTCTTGGAAATGATTGAAAGTATGGAATTTGACCGTCGGCCAGGTATGAGGAGCATCGACGCCCCCGTGTGCACCTTGATAATATGATATTGGGTGATACATGAATGATTGTGCATGGATGAGAGGTTAGATCAAGTGAGAGATTAGGGACTTGTTCGGCGCATGTATGGGATTAGACTGGTCGCGCCATTCGATCATGGGGATCAGGCTCTTTGGTGCACACGGTTATGTGAGGAGATGGGGTCATGTGTATAATGTTGTAAAATTTGGTGCACACATCATGAGAGGATGGGCCATGTGGGAGGACGGCTCATCGGGGGTTTCGGTGACGCCACTGACCAATTTCCACGTGAAGTGATTATCTGAAGGTGATAATGTTTGTAAATGCTGTTGTTATGCCATTGTGTGACTGACTGCGTGATCATATAACTAGTCGGATGACTAGATAGATATTTACACATCCGCGTGATTGCATGTGTTGTGTAATAATTAATTTTCATTAATAAACTCACATGTTCTTGTTTAATTTTTCCCAGGAAGTAGATTTTCCTTTATCGGGTAAGGGTAAAGCTCTGTGTGTAACAGCCCAGACAAACCAAAATATTGTCCGCTTTGGGTCACAAGCCCGTACCCTCCTTACACCCTGGCCAGACCACCCAAAAGGTCTCTTGACATTCTAAGGTTTGTCCAGACTTATGTACATCACTTGCACCTTGCACTTAAGTGATGTGGGATTCGCCTAGGGTGTTACATTCACCCCCCTTCGGGGCTCAGCGTCCTCACTGAGGTTTGCCCCACCACCGGACAAAGGAACAAGGCTTGGGCTCTGATACCAAGCTGTAATAGCCCAGACGGACCAAGATATTGTTCGCTTTTGATCACAAGCCCAGACTGACCAAGATATTGTCCATATTGTCCGCTTTAGATCACAGCTCGCACAAGTTTTTGTTCCTGGTGCCGACCAGGTACGGCCCGTACCCTTCTTACAACCTTGGCCAAAACCATCCAAAAGGCCTCTTAACAGTCCCAAAAGGCCTCTTAACAGTCTAAGGTCTGTACATATTTATGTACATCACTTGCACCTTGCACTTAACCGATGTGGGATTCGCCTAGGGTGTTACATTATAGTCCTTCACCGCAAAGCTAGAAAAGAATCTTTTACTTCAGTAATTAATTCATTAAATAGTTGTATGTACGAGAACTTATTGTATTTAGCTATTAGTGAACTTTGCAGTTGTAGAATTATAATCAATAAACTGATGAGAATGCTTGAATTTGCTAGCCCAAATTATGGATGTAATGTATTACAATTGGGCCCGAACTATGAAATGTTTAATATATTAAATTTGGGCTGAAGTATAATATAATTATGAGTTTTATTATGTGTGGCACTATGGGCTAGCAATTTGAAATTCTTATTGATATAGTAGAATTTTACGGTTTCGGTTTACTACGGGCCTCAGAGGTCTTAAGCTTACTTGGGACCTAGTGCCGGTCCAGTCCATAGAAACGGATCGTGACTGAATCCCACCTCTCCCAATACTCAAAAAGATCCTAAGATTTTGCGTGGTTCATAATTCTTATATTTATCTTGAAAACAAAATTAAAGGAATTTTAAGAGCCTATTTATTATAGTTGTGTGTTTTTAGATTTTTATTTAGTAGAAATTGAAAAGAGGTTCTAGTCTTTAGAATTGCTCTTTTTTTCTTAATTTTTTTATGTTGTTAAAAGTTATCCCAATTATCAAATATCTCTCCCATATTTAACCATTAAAGATTTTAATTAATAATAAAATTCTAAAATTCCAAAGTCTAAGAATAAAATAATAAAAAAATTCGCACTTTAATCTTTAAATTTCAAAATTATAATAACCCTTAATTATCTTGTCTACAATCAATTGAATATATGGTACCTAAAAAGTGCAGATAAATAACTAAATAATACTAAATATCTTAGATAGTATGTCATACAACAAAATAATGGATAACTGTGACTAAACTCTGAGCCGGATTAGTCAATCTCTGATAATAGAGTCCGGATACCGGTAATTCAAAAAACTTTGTCATGGACTCTTTTGTCCGTTTGGACTCTTTTGTCCGTTTTTTTTATAATTTTTTTTTTTTTCAATGAACGGTGAGAAATGCCCGAATAGCCACTTAGATTAGTTTGGTGCGTGAATAGGCTCATACACCACATAAAACATTCTCATAATTGAAGTTGTAGGGAAGCTTTTGCCTATAAAATGACTCTCTAGCTAGATTCAGTTGCTCATTCGCATAGATCAGTGCAATCCAAATAAGAGAGTTTAGAAAGCAAAAAAAAGAATTCCTATATCGATCCGTTCATGGCCCTTGCGGGTAGCACCTTCTTGCCGAAGGCCACTGTCCATTTGCCAAACTTCAAGTCATACCAGAGAAATAAAGCTTCTACTATGTACGTTGATCTTCCACTTCTGATTTCTATTGCTGTTCATTTATATATACTTTCATATGACAGTTTATTTTGAGTTTTTTTGGATCAGAAAATGTGCTACGAATCGATCTGCGCCACAAACAAAACATGAAAAGAAGCCTCCAAAGATCAATAGCGTTATGAGAAGCAATGAATATAGAGTTATGAGAAGCAATGAATATAGAGAGAAGATTGTTATGGCTTCTAATGGGTTGAACGCTGTTGAAGAAAATAGGCAAACTGAAGTACTGCATGATTCTAATGCTATCACTGTAAAGGCTAAAGCTACAAATTGAAGTTGGTGCTCTTATAAGAAGAGTTTCTTATTTATCACCTTCATTTGCATCTGTGTTTGTATGCTTTACTTATCCATTGAGATGAAAGGACAGTTTATATTTACTTGGCTGCAATTGACATCAAAATCACACTTGAAACAAAATCACACTTGAAACAAAATCACAGCGCCTAACGTTGAAGAGTGAAGCTAAATGAGAGCTGGTATAATGTAATAAGAATCCAAACACTTCTATTACAGTGTAACGTCTAATAAGCTAATTTAATTCACCGAAGGACTTACCTATGCCAGTGTATGGGCGGCCCTTATACCAAATTAATCAAAAACAGTTTTTTTTTATTCAGAAGAGGGTATTTTTAATGGTTCAGTGGGAAAAAAACAGTAACAATATTTTTAATTAGCTTGGTAGACATGACCACAGTTCCATTTCAAACCAAAACTGAATTGAAACTGAATTAGTCAAAACTGGCACCAAACCAATCAAATTGGTCAATGGTTATTAGTTTCAAATCGAAACCGTGTATTTAAGGTTCGATTCTGATTCTTCAGTTTTTTAAAACTGAAACCGGTAGTTCCAATTTGAAACCTTGAAAAACATGTTCTCAAAAAAAATTTCAATTTATTGTTTTGTTTTATTATATTTTTTTAAATAATTTTTTTTTTTTAAATAATTTTTTAAGAATTATTATTAAATTGGTTTAGTTTTTTTCAATAGTAATATCTATTATTATTATTATTATTATTATTTATTCATGCTACAAATCTAAAAATCAGTTTAAAAATAAATTATTTATTTTCGATTTAAAATCATAACAAAGCCAAAATTATGGTTCTAAAACTATCTTAGAAACTGCCTAAAAGCGGTTCGATTTTAATTTTACATTTTTTATAATTAGAAGTAGTGGCCTTGAAACTGAAACCGGCGGTTCTCCGTAATCATGCTTAGGCTTGGGGGTGTATGCAAGTTTTATCCTTTAATCTATACATTTCCCATATTTATTATTCTATCATAATCTTCTTTTGTTTCTGTCAACTGAATCCCAATTTGATAAATTTATTAAATAGTAATTATATTAGTATATATTAAAATAAATTAGTAATATATTAAAATAAAACTTTATTACAAATCAAACGCAAAAATCAGAAATCAGTTACACCAATAATATTAAAAAAAAGACTAATTTTTAAAATTTGTTATTAACATGATAAACTATCTCCGAAATTTCCTAGAAATAGCAAACAGCAAACAGCCTTACTAATTTTATTTGTATTAACATGATAACATCTCCAATTTCTAGCAAATAGCAAACAGCCTTGCCTTTTCATATCCACAAAATTTAATATAAGAAGATCCATTTGGTTTAACCCTTATTTGCTTCCCTTTCTTTCCTTCCATCCATTCTGTTATAACCCATTCAAATTTTCTTTCCCCTCACATCACCTATCAATCTCCATGTCTCCCACTTTCCACTAGAAACAAACAATTTTTCTGTTGGTAAGCGAAGAAAGGCCAAAAATAATGGCACTCCTTCACTAATGCTTTCAATAATTGAATTCCAACAACAATGTGTCAAAAATCCTCCTATTGGAATATGACCCAGCCCTAATTGACTCATTGTTCTTAAGTTTCCAATATTTATAGTTAATTACTGTTTATCCAATTTTAATGTACTAGCGTTTCTTAATATAAAATTAGTAGTTGTTATATAGTCTAAATCACTTTTATAATATCAAACAGGTGGTGGATTGATTGGTCTTTTCACTTATATGAGGAGTCGAGATTTTGAGTTTGAGTTCTCTCGACCACAGTTATTTTCCCCAATTTGATGATACAATAATTTTAGATTATTTAATTATAGTAGTGAATAAATAATTTTTAATTATGTATTCAAAACATGATCCTGACGTAGCAACTAATTAGTGTATATATAGTTATGAAAAAGTTAATTAATGGATGATGACTTATTTCATAATTTGCCTATAATCTGCCCTTGTTCGTTTGTTTCTATGTACTCTCATTCACCTACTTACTCATTCCTTTCTAGAGTTGATACCATTCAGTTTTACGTTCCTTTCGTACTGCTTCTGCTAAATCCGATTCTTCAAATTCTCTGGAAGGCTGCAAACCTAATCTACACATCAAAGATCGACGAACAACCGATGTCAGGTACACAACCTTTTTCTAATTCAATCTATTTTTGTTGAATCTAGTGGTTTGCACGATCTAAGGTTATTATGGAATTTGTTTGAGATTAATTCTTAACAAGTGGTATCAGAGCCTTGTGCAATAATTGCTAGATTTTAGATTGATTTTCGTATTTTTTTTTTGTTTTCCTACTGTTTTTACGGATTGAGGGTTTTGTTTAAATAAAAAAAAAAAAATTTTTGTTACTCATTTGGGGAATACGAAGAAACAAGGTAAGAGGTTTAGGTAAGAGGTTTTGATATTTAGTGTTTTGTGTTTTCTTTTGATTCAATCATGTGTTGGACCCTGATTTTCACGTCGGTGGTATTTTGTTTTTGCTGGCTGGATTTTGTTTAGAAAAAAAAAAAAAACACCTTTTTGCTGGCCAAAAAAAAAATAAAAAAAAAGAAGTCGGCGGCACCTGTTATTTTCCTCCTTAATCGTTTTTGGTTTTTAGGGTTAGGGATGGAAAATAACGGTTAGGTCCCTGAAAAATTTTAGATTAGGTCCTTAATTTTTTATTTTTTCAGATTAGGTCCCTAATTTTTCTGTAACTTCAGATTAGGCCCCTAATTTCTGTAACTTCAGATTAGGCCCCCTAATTTTCTGTTTTTTTTTTCGTATAGACCCATAAACATATATTTAATTAAATTAGACCTTCGAACTTTATTTATTCAAATTTATTTAGTCCAATTTTATAACTTAGTCTCTAATTTAGTGACTTAAAGACTAGATTATATATATATATATTTTTTTTTGGGCTAAATAATTTTAGGACATCAATTATTTTAATTGCAATTGTTTTATTTTCATTTACAATTAAATGAATTAATTTTTGGGTCCGACTTGAGTTTAAATTTTTGGAGTGATTTAAGTCCCATTGTGTTTGATATTTGTTAAAATAAATTGATATTTGATCAATTAAGTCACCAAAGTGACCTCTATTGCTTTGAATTGATTTATTTTAGAATATTGACAGGGTAGTTAGAATTCCGTTTGTGGATAGTTTAATGTCGCCCAAAGGAAGGTTGCTATCTGGCTGAGTTTTGAATACATGTTTGGCAATAAGTATGGCAATAAGTATGTGATAATTGTTTGATTATTTTCCATGACAATGATATATCGGTCCAAAGGAAGATTTATTATTTGTCAGGACTATGTTATCAATATTTGATTGCTGCGTTGAGATACTAATTACAAGTGAATATTTTACATCCAAAGATGAGAATATTAATGTTGAGTCTGTATCTTATTTCCATTTTTATCTCTACTTATGTGAATTGTTTCATTTGTGAATTGTGAGCTTATACTTATCTATTTGTTTATTTTCTCTGATGTCAGCTAACATGTCATTTAATCCTGATTGTGTCCCTAAACTTAAGGGATCAAATTTTGAGTCTTGGAAATCAGACATTATGATCTTTCTGGGCTGTATGGATTTGGATCTTGCATTCAGGATGGACGAACCTGCTCCTCTACTGCTACGAGCACTGATGTTCAAAGGGTTCAGTAAAGGGTTCAGTATGAGAAGTGGGAGCGTTCTAATCGCTTAGGTCTGATGATCATGCAGAAAGGAGTCCCAGAACATGTTCGAGACTCTGTTGTTCGAGACTCTGTCTCAGCTGAAAAGAACAATGCTCAAAACTATCTTGCCGAGCTGGAGAGGGCTTATGTCAAGAATGACAAAGCCGAAGTGAGAACACTTTTAGGAAAATTAACCTCCATGAAGTTTGCTGGCAATGGTGGTGCTCGGGAGCATATTCTTAGCATGTCTCAGATTGCAAAGAGACTGAAGGTGCTGGGTATGGCTTTACCAGATGACCTTTTAGTCCATTTGGTTATGAATTCTCTTCCTTCTCAGTATGGACAAATTAGGACTTCCTATAATTGTCAGCCGAATAAAAATGGACTCTTAACGAGCTCATTTCTCATTGTGTTGATGTGAGTTCTACAAGATTAATTGCGCCAAGAATTTCAGAGTTGTTTTCAAGAGTACTTGAAGGTAAGTTTCTGATTCTTGTTCTAAATTCCTTGTTTTTGTCTCTTCAAGAGTACTTGGGGGTTAAAGGGATTGACGCGTACTTCCGTGATTGCATGCTTTCCGCTAGATTTCCTTGTTGATTTGCAAGAGTACTTGTTAATTAGCTAGGGTCGCATTACGGATCACTTGAGAAAGGACTGTCCTAAATTTGCTATTTGGCTTGCAAAGAGGGGCAAGTACCTTGTTTTAGTCTGTTATGAAGTTAATTTGTGAAGTTAATTTAACTTCAGCTCCTAAAAACACTTATTGGATGGATTCTGGTGCTACCGCTCATATAAGTGTTTCATTGCAGGGCTGCCTCAACCACAGAAAGCCAACTGACGGTGAAAAATACGTCTATGTGGGAAATGGCAATCCGGTTGAAGTAGAGGCAATTGGACATTTTAGATTATGTTTAAGTACTGGTTATTTTTTGGATCTCATAGATACTTTTGTTATTCCCTCTTTTAGAAGGAATTTGATTTCTGTTTCCTTTTTGGACAAATCTGGTTTTCATTGTTCTTTTGGAGACAGAGAGCAGTGTTTTACTTTCATCTATGAATTCAAAGTTTTGGGTACTGGTTCCTTGAATGAATGTGATAATCCTATATAATGTTAAGACATTGAATACCTGTTATCATGAAATCCCTGCATGTTTACTACAAGAGGTACCAAAAGAAAGTTTGAACATATTTGATAACTCCAGCCTGTAAACTTTGGCTATAGACCCGTTTTGGTCTGTATCCAAATCAAGAAAAATTACGCGTCTTGTTTCTAAATGGTATCTTAGATTTTACACTGATTACACAAGGTTTGGATTCCTTTTGTATTGAGTGTATTAAAGGAAAACAGACTAAACAAAAGAGACTAGGTGCCATTCGGTCATCCAATGTTTTAGAACTGATTCATA